ATTTCAATAAAATTAAAAATAAATTTTTGTGTTTGTCCTTTATTTCTTTCTTTGTTATTCGAAAACCCTTCTATAATTAAAGAAGAAATATTAAAATTAGCCAAAAACGGCTGTTAGTTATCCTAACCAGTTTAGGTTAGTTAACATAACCAAAGATATTCCGTTTAAAATTAAATTATTGAAAGCAAAACCTGGTTAACCACTGTTTAAAGCTAACTGAAGTAGTAAAGACCGGTCTTAAGTGTTAAAATATTAATTGTACAGATAGCATCTCTTCAATAATTGATGAAGTTGCGCTTTAAAATTTAAATGAATGCAAGCAAAACCTAGTTAATCACCGATTAAAGCTAATCGAAGTAGTAAATATTGGTCTTAAGTGTTAAAATATTGATTGTACAGATAGCACCTCTTCAATAACTGATGAAGTGACTATAATTTTGAGAAAATAATGGAAAAATGTGCATTGAATAGCTACAAACTTTGGCAAAGAAGATACTTTTATATCAAATGTAAATCTAGTTCCAAAAATAAATTTACAGCAGTATTTTATTACTGAATTGAAGAAAATTGTTGTAGAGATTTACACTAATTTATCCGAAATACATTTACAGCCTGTTGAGTTTGTTGCTATGCAACCGTGATCTCGAGAAAGATAAAATATCCGTTTGGAGAGCTGTTACGCTATGTTTATTCTTAACCTCACTAATGTAAGGTCCATTGTAATAGGTATTGATGTATACATAATATAAAGAAAGAGATCGACGAATTCTGCGTAGGACTCTCCAGGGAGGGCTCTACTGTTTATGTTGTCTTTAAAATCTATGTAATACATAAGTAGATATTGCTTGCATAGTTATTGGTTGTACTCCTTTATAATACGTTAGTCATCCAATGCTTTTTGTATTCTGTTTTTCAAAGTATTTCTTGTAAGTCACGGATCATTCATATTTTTTTTACTTGTATAGTGTATTTGTTTAAATAAAATAACAGCATTTTTATAATTAAATATTTTAATCTTAATACTTCATATTTATTATCTTAATCTGTGGAGAAATATTTTGTAAGAAGTTTTTGATATTATCACGCATATGCTTTAAATCGCTATTTTCTTCTGCTATAATTTCATTACGTATATCATCTTGTGGTTGGGGAAATTCGATTTCATTCTGCATATCCAAAGACCAAGTATCTAAAAATGTTTCATTTTTTCTTTCCACAAAGTTGTGCAATATCGAACACGCCAAAGCAACAAAAGGCAGGAACTCTGGGTCAATGTCCATTATTTTTAAACGGCATTGCCAGCAACCTTTTAATCTACCAAATGCCATTTCTACAAAAATTTTTCCTAATCTAATATGATAGTTAAATGACTCTTTTTCAGGATTTAGACAATCAGTATATGGTTTAATAAACCACGACAGCAATGGATAAGTAACATCTCCAATTATCATTAGCGGTATCGATAGTCCATTGATATCAGTAGTGTATGTTGGAATCACTTGTTTAGCATATTTGTAAAGCCTTGACTCTTTAAAAACGTCAACGTTATGGTAGCTGCCTGGTAATTTAACACTTACATCACGAAACCTAGAATATGCAAAAATCAATGTAACGTTTGTGCATTTTTAAAATAATCTTACAATCTTTTCAACTTACAAATAGTTATTATCAACTACTGCTTGCATAACTATTGACGGCCAACCTTTTTGGTTTATGTACTCTTTGTACCCATCGCTGGGAAGCAACACTGGAATATGTGTTCCTTAAAAAACAATTCTCTTTATCAGTGTTGGTACTTTTGATCAACATTCAGTTCCTTGCTTACCATCAATTGCGCCAATAATATTGGGTATTTTAGTCATTTTTTCAAAGGCAGTAGCAATGGTTTTTGCTTCTTCTAATTTTGGAAAATATAAATATTCCTTTCGAAGCTGTAGTATTGCTTTAACCACGAGATTGAAGTACTTATGCACAGTACTTTTTTGCGCACGAAGCAAGTTTTTGTAACTTGCTTAGGAATCGGCAACGGTGCTGTCACATATACCTTCGGACATGGAAGATAAGGACACCAGTTTTTTACAAACCAAATTGAAAGAGTTTTTACCCATGCGAAACTACACATAATAAAGATGTTCGTTTCCTCCTTCTTGTAGGGACCTCATAAAATTATCAATCCGCTTTCGTCGGTGTACGCTTCGCACTCTGGGAACATTGGTTTTAAAGAAAATTTCTGGCAGCTGACTTTGCAATGCTAAAATGTCTCTCAAATATTTTTTTTTTATTATTTGAACTTTGCAAAATTTGTTGATTGGAAATCAAGAATTGTTGACAAACAAGCATTCTTCTTCGCATTCTTCTTCCATCAAATAAGAGAAAAATACTTTAAATTCTTTAACTTAAAAATTTTTAATTCTATAGACGGCACAAATTATTTTATTATCAAAACATCATAATTGGCTTTGTTTTTAAAAAAAACAGCTGATTTTGTATCACGATTAGAGATGCTTCAAACGTGTAAGTACTCGGTAGTTTTTTCTAAACTAATTACTTTTGTATTCGGTAGTAATTGTATTCGGTAAAAACTTACGAATTAGGCAATCTACACTGCCTAAACTTAGGTAAAATATTGCTGTTCGAATTCAAATCCGTATTATTCTCGACTTTTCTCTGCGAAAAAGATTTGGATTTCTTAGTGAGCAAGCAAAAGTATATGAAAAAAGCTTGCCAAAGTCTATGCAAGATGTTTATATTCGAATTTAAATACGTATTATTTCCGAATTTTGTCAGCGAACAAAAACTTGTATTTGTTAGTGAATAAGAGTATATAAAAAAAATTTTGAGCATTTGCTGACACCAATTTTTAATTACGAACTTTGGGAGTACAGTTTTGAACTCCAAATCAATTACCAAAGTTTAGTTTCTTATATAAAAATACGCACAACCAAAGTTAGAATTTCATTAAAAGTTATACCATGTTTACATTGTAAACTTTAGTGGTGGAAGTCGACTTTAACCTCAAAACCAGTTACCGAAGCTTATTTCTTCGTACAAAACAGGCTAAACCAAAGTTCGACTTTCATTAAAAGTTAAATTCATTTAATAACTTTTCTTGTATAGAGCATTATCGATGTTTTTAATATAACATGATCAAAATGATATATCTTTTTACTTTTTAATGTGATATTTGATTACAAAGAAAACAAATATACCAAATCTTATAAAAAAAAGACATATTAACCGACCTAAGCCGTAATCAAACAAAAACAACAATTGTCAAAATTAAAACCCTATAGTATGATGTAAATCTATGACATTTGGGAGTACAAGTATCTATATTATAATATAACAACGTTTAGTTGTTGGGTTTTGTATTTATTTTTAAAAACTTTAAATCCCGATATTTTGAGAACTAAGGTACATCGGCTCTGAACACAAATAGTACAAACGTGCTAGTGTACCTATTTTTTTTGAAGGAAAATTGAATTACTGGTCTACACTTCAAGTGTGCTAAATCAACTTACATTAATCAATTGTTTCCATTAACATAAGTGGATTTATGCATGTAATAGTGCGTTTATGTTCCAGAAAGTTCTGTGAAAGTTTTAGGAGAGCTTCTATTTGCTTGCATTTCAATTGTTAACAAATAAGATTCAATTTTGTATTGTTTGCAGAAATGATTTCATTTTTACTGAAATATGCTATAACTAGGGATTTTCCTTTGTAGAGTTAAATCAAGTTCGAGTTAAATCAGCTGATAGCATTGGTGTTTTTTATTAAGGGCTATAAATAAAGATATAATTTGATCACATGATCATAAGTTGAAACCGACAAAACAGCTGTGATCAGTGATCACATTTTTTACTGATAATAAATACGACATATATCAAGTTAAAATCTTAACCTTGTTAAATTCACAACAATAATTACATGAATTTTTTTTTATCAATTAAAAAACATAAAAAAAACTTATTAAAATTAAACTTGAATGAAGATTTTTTTAAAATTATATTTATTGAGCAAATTTAAACTTTCACAATTTTGAGTTGAACTACGACTGCTAATTCTAAATCTTAAAAAGAGTTTTTAGAGTATCAGATCTTATGTTTACATTTTGTAGTACTATAAATTATGAAGAGATACCTATACTACTTATATTTATATTTACATTTGGTTTCATCTATATATAAATATCTCTGTGGCGCGGGAATCAAATGACAAATGACAATTCTTTGACTCAGGATATTTTCATTATTAGTTTAGATAAAACTATATTTATTCTTTGTTGCCCATTATATTGTATTGTGTATGAGAAGGGGACGTAACTCATGTACCCCATTTATTCCAATTTATCATGATTAGGCATTTCTAATGATATATTACGTGGTGACTGCAAAGCATTAAATTTGATATTATATTCCATTTCAGTTGACAATAAGATAACAATTATTTGTATTTTATGTATAAAAATAGTTTTTACATAAAAAGTTTTATTTTACAATAGAAAAAGGGTTTTTGTAGAAACGGATTTAAATACAAAAATATTCAAACCTGTGCTTTGTGTTATAAATAAGCAATACATTTTAATTAGAAATTTTTTAATTTTTACCTAATCACAGATGTCAATATTACATACCTTGTAATCTAAGGAAAGTTACAATTTGTTATCACATAAATTAATATCACTCAATGTCATTTAATGTTATTTACAAAAATTAAGAATGCATTTTTAAGATGATAAACTGTCTATAATATAATTATTTAATTTTTTTTTATTAATATTAATTTTATTTTATTATAATTTTATTTTACCTTTTTATGTAAAGACTTAAAATAAGTTATAGAGTTAATGATCATTAGCGTTAATAGTCCAAAGGTATGTCATTTATGAATTTAATTATAAATATATTTTTATCTTCAATGATAAAATTAATTTTATTTATTATTGATAAATTTCATATTTATTAAATAGTTACGTTAACACTTCGTTAATATTTTTTTTTTCAATTATTTAATTGGCACAAATTACAGTATTTACCCCACTTTTAAAAAATTTCAACTCATATTGTTAATGTTACATTATAAAGTCCGTGAAATGATTAATGAACTTTATTGCTATTTACCACAACTGTTAAGCTCATTTATTATCATTTTAAGCATTCCATTTAAAATAGAAATTAAAAAACTATTCATAGAAAAAGTTCAAAGGTTTCCACTTAAACTTGACCTCATGCAATCTCGCAAATTTTAGTGCAATCTGATGAACTCTTTTTTTGTACGCCGAATGAAAAGCGTGCGCGTCTATGGTATTTGGCCTGTTTACCGACGATTCTATTTATTTTTAAAACTTTCTCTTTACTGACAATGCAAGTGACGTGTATTACATAAACAATGAATATAGTCGGTGAAAATAATTAGCAATTTAACTTACGTTTTATTATTGAACACACGTTTGCAATAATTTCACATGCGTATTTTGATAATAAAAACACGCGAAAATATATTAATTTTGATTATAACGTAGACGCAAACATGTTTTTAGTGGAAGTAAACATTAATCAATGCGCGACACACCTCGTACGACTTGAGAAATCAACAATAAGATACTAATATCATTTGACCTAACAAAACACAACATATGTTGCGCCGCTAACAACCCTGTATTTTTATCAACAGGTGATTGGACAGAGTTGCCAAAACGCTTTTTATACAACATGGATAGAATAGTACAATTGTACTATGTTCAAAATAAAATTAAATAATATATATATAAATAAAATAAAATAAAATTAAGTTAATTTGGAAAATGGTCAATGGAAAACTGCCCCAAATTAAGGAAATCATTTGCTTTTTGCTTAAAAATCAAAGGTTAAAAATTACATGCTTTAAACACGATTTGTAAATGGAAAATTTTAAAAGTTGATTATTATAACTATAACGGATGGCATTCAGTAGTTGTATAAGCTATATTAGGTATGTGAATTATTAGGTCTGTTCCACGAGCTACACATAGTAAATCATGAGTAAAACAGAAGTAAAGTACAAACTGAGAGCGTAACACAAATAAAGTGCCAGATTACGCTCTTTACACAAATTTTCATGGAACAGCTTTGTGTAAAGTCTGGTGAAAACGGCTGTTTTTTGAAAAACAAAACAGTAGAAATAGAAATTTGAAAATAACAGACAAACACATTAATAATAAAATAATTAATATATTTTATTTATTTATTTTTAAACTTATTTTAATATATTACATATTATTATTATTAGGACACATTATGTTAAAAACATATTTACTTTTAATATTATAGTCTTTATGTTTAGTTAGAATTAAAAATTTATTTAAATAATGTAATTTTAAAGCTAAGATAGAATTAAGTATATATTTATAAAATGTGATGTTATGTTAATTAGAATTAAGTTCTTTATTGCAATATTAATAAAATTAATTAATGAAAAATAAGCAATATACAAATAAACACTTTAATCCAAATTATTTTCTGTTTGTAATTCATTCCAAATCGAATCTCTAACGATACTTAATCTAAAAGGGATGTGGTTGTTGACATCATTATCTTCCTCAGATTGTTCTGAAAATGTGAATTCTAAGTCGTTTTCATTTGCAAGATTGTGCAAAACGCAACATGCTCTTATAAAGTGACACGGTTTTTCAACTCCTTTAAATTTACAGTAGTACAGCTGTCTAATACGTTGTTTTAAAATACCAAATGCATTTTCTATTAGTATTTGACCTGACCCCAATTTTCTATTGAAATTCTTTAGTGCACGAGTAAGACGCCCGTTGTCTTTATATGGCGTAATGATGTGTTGTGTACAGGGGTATGCGGAATCAGCCAGTAGATAGTATTCTGTAAACGTAAGAGGTTTTGATAAATCTCATTTCTTTTTCCAAAGAACTTACCTCCACACTTCGATGGTAGTCGCATATAAATAGGAGAGTTTTGTAAAACCCAACTGTCATGACAGAAGCCTGGATGTCCGACAAATATGCTAATAAATTTTCTGTTTTCATCACAGATGGCTTGCAAGCATAATGAAATATTTCCTTTTCTGTCAATGTAGTCGTCCTTACGATCTCCAGGAGGATCAATAGTTATACGAGTGCCATCTAGGCAACCTGCAAAGTAACATGTATTAATATATATGCAGCGTTAATATGCATATAAATCCTTACCTATAACTTATGGAAAATTGCATAAGCTTCGGAAAAATGTACTTGTTTCTTCCTTTTTTGATGTGCTAGGCCATGCAATTATATCCGGACACATGTTGCTAAAGAAAGTTATCATCCTTCTTATAACTCGGTTTACTGACGATAA